CGCCCGACCCTCGACCCCCGAGTCCCGGAGCCGGCCCCGCGCGGGGCCACGCGTCCTGCGGGCGCTGGTGCCTAAGGACAACGACAGCACCAGCTTTTCCTTTCTCCCTTCCCTTCCTTGCCCCGCACTCCTCCCCCTGCGCGCTGTTGTTGTGTGTCAGCACTTGGCTGGAGACGTCTTGAACTTGCAGGGAGAATAACTTGCGCTCCCTACTTCGCGCCGGTGCCTCTGCCCCAGCGGACCCAGCCTCACCGCCTGCGAACCCCGCCGCCCGTCCACTCCTCCGCTGGGCCCGACCCGGAGACGCCGTTCCCCGCGTGAGGACAGGGACAGCCCGGCCGGCACCCGGGAGGAGAAGGCGGCGGCGAAGGAAGGGAACCCGGTCCCTGCGCCAGGTCCTTCAGCCAGAGCTTTTTCCATGTGGAGGCTCTTTCAATGGACGTGTCCCCGCGTGCTTCTTAGACGGTCTGCGGTCTCCTAAAGGTAGACGACGTGGGCCAGGACCCAGGGCTTGGGGGTGGGCGCGGGGCCCGGGCAGCCTCGGCGGCTGAGCCCTTCCCCAGGTCCAGGCCCGGCCGGAGGTAAATAGGGCTGGTCCACGTGCAGCCGAGCCCCTGCGGGGATGCCCCCATCCTACCGCCCCTGGCGACCGTCGGCTTTGCCCTCCTGGCTCGCACTCCTCCGCCCCTCCTCCCTCCCCCCCTTCAGTTTATTAGGGCAGTTAACACTTAGATGATTTTTTTTTAAAGTCTCAAAGAAATCACTTCGAGAGGGTGGCCCCTGGATTCCACCCGTTAGCGGCCAACCTGTACGCCTTGCCATTCTGATCCTTTCTAACTTGAAGTTTTCCGGGAGACCTGATCTTTGAACTCAGAGTCGCGTCCCATTTGGGAAATATTAGAAGTTGTGATTCTCCCTGTTTGTTTCCAGGGATGCGAGGGGGCAGTTCTTAAGTGCCACCTTGTACTGACACGTGAATTAATAGATATTAGTCATCTACGTAATCCTAGGAAGACACATGTGTTTCTTGACTGCATGGGGTGGGGGAGGTTGGGAATGGAGTGCTTGCCCTGACACCTCTGAAGTTAGAGGCGTGGGCCACAGGTGGCAAGTGACTTCGGAAGTTGTGCCCTTGAGTTTACTGGCTCTGGAAGTTATAGACCGTGTGTACCAGGAAGTCCTATACGGCGCTTCTAAGGAAGTCACATGCACCATTTGTGCGTGTTTATATGCAAGCGAGCGCTGGGCAGTGTGTGTTTGGGTTAGTTTAGGGGACAGAGAGGTGTCAGACCAAGCGGTGGTTTCCCCAGGTCTCCTGCATTGGCTGTCAGCGCGAGTGTCACACACACACACACAAAAAGGTGACAGTCATTGACGAGGGGTGGGGGTGGGGGTGGGGGTGGGGCGCGGACAAATCTTGTCAGACAGATTGAGAGTAGCACGGGAGAGGAAAAGCCACCTGGCCCTGGAACTAGGGGTTTTCCATTCTCCCAAACGTCCGAGCTTCAGCTCCTCTGAAGCATCCCTGTGAGTGTTGTAAGTCAGGTGGGCACCCTGGAGGAGGAGGCAAAGTGGACCACGCGGGAACCGGGGCCGCGGGGGCGGAAGAGGGGAGGGCTGGGCGGGGAACTCCGTGACTCACGTCGGCCCTGTCCGCAGGTCGACCATGGTGGCCGGGACCCGCTGTCTTCTAGCGTTGCTGCTTCCCCAGGTCCTCCTGGGCGGCGCGGCCGGCCTCATTCCCGAGCTGGGCCGGAGGAAGTTCGCGGCGTCTGCTGGCCCCTCCTCGTCCCAGCCGTCAGACGACGTTCTGAGTGAGTTCGAGTTGCGGCTGCTCAGCATGTTCGGCCTAAAGCAGAGACCCACCCCCAGCAGGGACGCCGTAGTGCCCCCCTACATGCTGGACCTATACCGCCGGCACTCGGGCCAGCCGGGAGCGCCCGCCCCGGACCATCGGTTGGAGAGGGCCGCCAGCCTCGCCAACACCGTGCGCAGCTTCCACCACGAAGGTGAGGCGTGGAGCCCGGGTGCTGGGGGCGGAGACGGAGGCGGGGAGTCCTCCCGCAAAGCGCCCCACCGTGGGCAAACTGCGGGCGTCCCTGGAAGGGCAGCTTGGCCAGGGCGCTGCAGAAGTTTCCATTTCTGCCTCTGGAAGAACCTTTCGGAACCTGGCTTTAATGCACTGCCTGTTGGCAGAGGGGAGCCAGGGATTCCCCTTTGGTAAATCCGCACCCTTTTCCTGGCTTGCAGCCAGAAGAGAGACTCCTCCTCCAGGAACTGGAGAGAAATCAAGTGATGGGGAAGATGAGGGCAAAAGGCATGCCCCTAGTCAGCTAAACGTGCAAGAATTCCATAGGGGAGGAATGAGAAGGAGGGGGGCAGACTGGGATCCCTTTACGTCTGTTGGGAAGCCTTTGCTCTATAAATCTGCTTCTCTTGCTTAAGCCAGGGTTTCAGGCTAGACAGGGCCAAGGGCAGAATTTTCAGAGATAGTATTGAAAAATCAAAGCCCAGGGCCCCAAAGTCTTTCTAATTTACAGTAGATCTGGGCCTGGTTTGCAAGATTTCAAATCCCTATCTAATCCTCGTGGGAGATCAATTCCACAATCAATCTTACTGTGTCCACAATGACTTTCTTGTCTTGTGCTTAAATCTGAGATGAACTCCGGAGGAGAGACAAGGCTAGCAGCCTTCAGATAAAAGCTTTTGCGGCAGCTGCCTGCTTTCCTTCATGTGCATTGAAATGTGGACTTTTTTTTTTTCTTTTATGATACTGGATGTGGTTTTTCTAAGGTAGGATATTTCTGCTTGTTTCATCAGAAAGGCATTTAGTAGATTTGAAATATCTTAGAGCAGCTTTTGAGATCTGTTGTACCTGAGTTCTTAGGGCAATTAGTCAAAAATATGTTCCACTCGATTCTTTTTCTACAATTTTAAATGTCCCTCTGGCTTAACACATTCTAAACAGAGCCCGGGTTCCTTTGAGTTCTAGAGAAGGGTCCAAAGTTGTGTATCATAAACTACCTGTAGCATATTGGGGAACTGGGTGTGTAGTTCCCTTTTTCTTGCCTTGCCGGGCTGAGGTGGTCAATTTCAAGTGGCAATCTACTCTTTGATATGAACAAATCAGGAATGTCACAGCCAGGGATTTTCTCCCAGTGTGAAGGATGACATATTTGTGAGAACAGCACTTGATAGTGGGAAGGAGTCCCAAAGGCGGGTCACATAACAAAAGGTACTTCTTCAGCGAAGGGCGACACTGAATTGATGATCAGTTCATTTTCCAGCACATTTCTAAGTGGGCTGCCCTCTGCTAGCAGAAATCAGATTTGAAATAAAATAAGATCTCATTTTACAACTTCAGGATTCGTCCACTGGAAGCAGAAGTTGTCTGTTGTCATGTAGGAATGTTTTTGTTTATGTACATTCTATCCTCATAACCTTGGGGTGATTATAGATTCCGTTCGTCATCCCGAGCCAATGCTGATTAGAACTGTTTTTCTGGATAGAAAAGTAGTAAGAATAGCTATTTCAGCTACCTCTCCTGGAGATATAGCATGGAAACCAGTCTTTATTTTTAAGGCCGAGAAGGTACTGTGTGTTTCTTAGAACTTTAAAGACCATTCAAGTCATCTGACACCAAAAACAGTCAGTTGCATGAGGATTCCATCAGTGAAGTCTGCATATATATTTCTCCTTCCTCTAAAAGTGGCTTGATCGCTAAACAGCCTAGAAATTAAATACGTGTGCTCTTTAAACTTAAGTAGCATGCTTGAGTTTATGTCAGAATTTATATCTTTAAAAGTGTAAATGTTATGTACAGAATACTACTGAAGTTAGCAACCGCTTAAAATCAACTTGCCAGTAACTTCAGATCTTGATGCATTTAGATGGCTTAGAGAAAAGCTACATAATAATTGTCCCAAATTTCAACGAGTCTACTTCTTTTCTTATTATGACTATCATTAGGCTACAAATTGCCCTTTTTTGAAGACCATGTCGTTTTTGTGTAACCCAGGATTTGGTTTTTATAAACATCCTGTGCCATGCATGGCACTAAAAAAAAAAAAATCTTTTAATAAACCATGTGATTAAGGCTGAAGGCTTAAGAGCAGAATTTGGTTCATAGAGCCTTCATGGGCATTTCTTTGGTAAAGGATCAAAGGACCTGATTATAAGAATTACCTGTTGGTGTTATCTGTGGGTGGGATCTGGGCGATTTGGTGAAATACAAGACAAGAGATACCATAATAGAGTTTTCTCAACCAATGTGTGAAGATAGTTGGGACCACATGTGGTAGGTGGCCTGACACAGAAATTACCTGTTCTCATTTCTCCTATTAAATTTTGTCTAGTCCTTTCTCCAGTGGCTTTTATTCAGAAGAGCTTAAGGGCTGCAAAAATTATTTTCCAAAGTTGTTACAGAGTGCTTCAGCTGTGTAGGCCTTTCAAAGCTGCCACTGAGGGCAGAAAAGTCACTTCTCCAACTGGAAAGAGCATTTTGTGCTTCACTTGCAGTTAAAAACACATTGAAATTGGTTGGCTTCATTGGCCCCACAAAAAAAAAATTGTTTATGCTTTCTTGTCGGATTGGAATATGGAAGGACCACTCTCCAGACTCTGAAGGACGCAGTTCTTGTTTTGCATGAAATAACTGAATTATTTGCATGTATGAATAAAGCTTTGAAATAGAAATTAATCCTGTTCCCATAAGTGTAATTTTCGTGACCATATCCACTTAAAAGGAAAGTTCAAGAAACAACCATTGTCCTGTGAAGGAGCACTTGTATCACAGATTCCCAGTGCAGCTAAAGGATTTGGACGCATACACCTCGGAAGCCACCAAGTGCTCACCTGGGGTGCTTCCCTGGTATCCTCAGGTATCTCAGCGTAATTACAAAGGGCCCCATTAGGTAGAACAGGCATTCTGTTTGGAAATGCTCATAGAGATGGAAGCTTTGTGCCCAGTGATAGTTCTTGGACTAACGTTTTCTCTGCTACTTTTTTTTTAAATGTTTCCTTTCTCTTCCCTCTTGACCCCTACTCATTGGGCTGTTTTGTCTCGTTCTAGAGTTGCTCTTTGTGTATTTCACTAAGTAGACAACAGCAAGAGGGTACTGGATCATTCCAGAGGTGCTGGAGCTAAGGGTGGGCAGAGGCCAAATCAGGGTTAATGACTGTGACCTTGCTCTTTTAGCTGCCACCTTTGTTGTCTTTGTTTTTTAGCTGATTCATTTTAACCTTTTGTAATTTATCTTTTTTCCCCGCCTTGATATATCCATTCTGTTATCATTATTTTATATTGTGGAAGATATTCTTTATTATCCTCTGCTACTTTTATTTCAGGGTAGCGATTTCCAGCCTTACTGATTTGCTAGAACATTCCCAGGTTTCTGTTGTTGCTTCCTTAACGGGCATGTTTTGGTCCAGAGAGTGTTTCCAAGTTCTCAAAATATAATGACAGCTCACTTTTTGCTAAAACTCGTTACGCTGTTGGACTAAAGTCAGCCACAAAATATCAAGATCTTGGTTCCAGGCAAGATCTGTGTGTCCCAGGGGTCCCTGCCACCCTACTTTTCTGCTTACTTAATTTTCTCTGCTCTCTCCACCATTCTTGGGAGTATATTTCTATCCCTTTAGTTGGGACAGAACTCACACTCTGGTTATCATTGTATTAAATATAAATCTACCTCTAATAGTTTTGGCTTTTGCTTGAGTTTTTGACTCCTCCCCTATGTTAGATGGTGCCGTCTAGTGGCCAGAAACTTGGGACCTGCTGTAGACTCAAGTTCATAGCTATGCTCTTCGCTTACTAGCTCTGTGACCTTAGGAAAGTCACCAAACCTCTCTGAGCTCCAACTATTTCATTTCCGAGATGGAGCTAGTCATAGTTCCTCTCTAATCGATTCATCGTAAGATAATTGATATAAAATTCTTAGTGCCACACTTGGCACAAACATTCAGTCATGGTCATGGTGACTTCCTTCCTTATGTCCTATTCTCCCTTGATCTAGGGATGAGAGGCTAGGCGGACCCATGCTACGAAGGGAATCAGTCCATCTTTTGGATTAGTTAGCTGCAGATGAATAATTGGCAGTGTGGATGATTAAGTTAGAACTTCACTTTTGGAGGAGAGGTCGAATGTCATTGTTACCTTATTTTTCTTTACTTTCTCTCATTTTTGCAGCCAAAGTTCCGTCTATTTGGATAAGGACTTAGAAGTTCAGGAACCCAGGTCTAAGACAGGCTGGAATCCTCAAATCCCTTGGCAAGTGCAGCTTATTCAACAAAGGTTATTTACAGAGAATTAATAACTGTATAAGCCTCCAAAAAAGCATACATTACCTATTTAGGTAAATGGCTGTATTTTCAGAATTCCCCGGCTTGATGTGATGGTTTGCAGCTTTTTTTCTTTACTTCCTTGCAGATAGGTTCTGATTCTTTTCTCTCTTCAAGAGACAAGTCATGCTCCCTTGCAGATCAAAGGAAAGGGTGGTACGTGCCCTAACCTTGGCCAGCTGTTCTCTTGGGTTTGGGGGGACCTTCTGACTTATCTCTTGTGACCTAAGTCTGCAGTCAGGGGTGTTGTCATGGAGGCCTTTTTGTATTAAGGAGGGACACGGGTCCTTCAGGGATTAGGTTGACTGAGAAGAAGCTGCAAAATTGGAGAAGGATCTTCACTTTACTCGTTAATATTTTAATAGTGTAATTTTTTTCCTTTGCAAGTGATTATCCTTTTTGCCACTTACCTCCAATGAGATTTTGAAGCACGTGAAATTGCTTTTTTATGTTAAATCCAGTTGAATGGCGGCAGTTTTATATAATTCCGTCTTTAATTGGTCTTTTTGGAGGATTATTGCTCCATTTTATGCCACTTTTATACCCATCTTCTTTACTTTACTTGTCTCTCAGGCTTGCATTGGAGATTGTTTCTTCATCTTTATCCTGGCTGTGTGTGTGTGTGTGTGTGTGTGTGTTTATAATTTCTGTTTTTATGGATTTGAATTCAGTTTTGTTGTATTCGTGATTTCTTTGGGCACCTTTGTTAACCCTGCTGTTCAGCAAATGCCCCGCATAATGTGCCTTTCTTCCCCTTCTTTCAAAGAAAAGAGTATGCTTTTAGGTGTGCTGGTATCAGCGAAGTCCGTCGCCCGGGTCCCAGTCAGGCTTTGTGTCATCATGTCTAGAGGACGCCGCTGATTTTCGTACACTTCTTTTTCCTCTGCTAGCTGGTGGCTTCTCTGCTGCAAGAAAGCCTTCAGCAGAAACATCAGAGGGCTCCTGAGTTGCAGGGAGGAGGGGAAAGAAAGGGCTAAACACGGTGCTTGATACTCAAAGCCACGAAGGAAAGCCCTGGTTAGATTGGTGGGAGGATTATTTTAAAAATAGTGCCTGGCCCCGAGTACCATTAGCTGACAGTGGGGTTTAGAGTGTGCTCGGCTCCCGAAAGGTACCCCTCCAGGTGCAGGTGTGCGGGCACCAGAGGCTGGTGGAGAACCCGCTCCCAAGCCTGATGGCTCCCTGTCCAAATACCTGAGGTTTAGATCTTCCTGTTCTGAGTCTGCTGCTCACCTATGGCCTCAACTCGTATTTTTTGGCCGACGCTAATGGTTCATCTATTCATTTTTGTATTATTTAACAAAAAATTTCTGGCAACGGATACTTGAATGTGAAAACGCCCTTTAAAGCCTTTACGCTCAAAGGGCGCTTCGGCAGCACACAGCATCCCCTTGCCTGCGAGCTGGCTAGAAATGCTGAATCTTGGCCCCACCCTTGACTCACCCACTGAATCAGAATCTGCTTTTGAAGATTTAAGGCGTCCGAGGTGTTGTGCTTGAAGGTTAGAGTTGGAGAAGCGTCGCATTAAAGCATTCCTCCATAATTCGGTATAAACTGTCCCTGTTGACCTCTGGCTTTTCACTTAGCTTGCAGTGGTGACTGTAGCTTTGACGGTGAAGGTTCACACCGGTAGAACCTTTGAGCGAGTGATCTGATGTGATTGTCCTCTGCTGAGGCATCTCAGTTCTGTGAACAAGGCATAACTACTGGGTTTAGGAGAAATACCATCATAAAATGAATGAAAATAGGGTTTCCTCTTAGGGTGATGACATGGAAATATGGCCAGCTAGACTTTGTTCGCACTCAGGTTGGATCCTGAATGAAGCAGGTGAAATCTGTGGACAGCGAGATGACAGGATATGGTAAAGCTAGAAGAAAATAAACCCAGATAGGTCAGATTCTAGTGCTGTTTACTCTCAATTTAATGGTAATGTGTACCTTTGATGATCTGCGGACCGCGCAACATTCAGTGTGATATGTTATGTTTTATTGTTTACTTCAAAAACAGTACTCCTTAAAATTGAAATTCTAGTATTTTAAATCAGAAAGAACTTTTTTGTATAGCCCACTGAATGACTATTTTGAAATAATGATAATAGATATAAAATGATTATTCTGTAATAGATTAACCCTTGGATTGTGAATATCATAATGGTATTTCTGAAGATTTTTATACTTTTTTTGGGTTTTATTTCTATCCTACAGCCTATTATTGAGTAGGTGTATATTTTTAATAAGGTTTATTTTTTTTTAAAGATAAAGGAATTACAAGCAAAGGGGAGTCACTTTTTTCTTCCAGAAGCATCTGAAATGAGATTTTGATTTTTGAGGTCATAAGGAGGTGAGAGAACAGAGTTGGGAAGTTACTTCTCTTGAAATTGTCTAGCCTTAATTACTACAGTGTCCTGGTACCACCCTTACGTTCCCAAAGAAGTAGATCCCTATAAATGCCTTTGTCTCTGGACTTTTGAGTAAAATAGTAGGGTGTACTTTGCAAAATGTCATCGCTGATGTTGAGTTTCAGAGTCTTTAATTAGGAAACTGAAATCTGTATATCGAGATTTGTAAATCATCTAAATTGCAGAGTAATGTTTTAGAATACCGCTTAAGGGATTGACATTAAAGCCTTTTTCTTTTTAAGAAATGCAATAATTTCCTCAAATCCTCACTCATTAGACCTCGACTAACTATAGTGCTGACTTTTTTTTCTTTTTTTTTTTGCCCTAAAGTCTGTGAATTCCAAAGAAATGCTTCACCATCTCCCCCATTATTACAGCCACCTGGAAGCAGTATTCATGTGTTGGATTAAAAGCATAACAATGAATTGTGAAATTTTGTTTCCTGGTAGGCATGTTGGCATAAATGTACAGAAAAGGGAGAATCCTTTTTTATCTAAAGGGGGAATTTAAATTTTCTGGTTGCAGACTTTTACGTGGGTTAAATCAAATCCCGAAGTGAGGTTCGTAAATCCTCGTGTTCCGTCAGATTATCTTTACTTGTCTTACTGAATGACTCTTTTTTTTTCCCCCTTCTTCATCTCAAATTAGAATCTTTGGAAGAACTACCAGAAGTGAGTGGAAAAACAACCCGGCGATTCTTCTTTAATTTGACTTCTATCCCCACTGAAGAGTTTGTCACCTCGGCAGAACTTCAAGTCTTTCGGGAACAGATGCAGGAAACTTTGGAAAACAATAGCAGTTTCCATCATCGAATTAATATTTATGAAATTCTAAAACCTGCGACAGCCAACTCGAAGTTCCCAGTGACCAGACTCTTGGACACCAGGCTGGTGACCCCGAACGCCAGCAGGTGGGAGAGTTTTGACGTCACCCCCGCGGTGATGAGGTGGACCGCGCAGGGGCTGGCCAACCACGGCTTTGTCGTGGAAGTGGCCCACCCAGAGGAGGGCCACGGGGCCTCCAGGAGGCACGTTCGGATTAGCAGGTCTTTGCACCCAGATGAGCACAGCTGGTCACAGATCAGGCCCCTGCTAGTAACTTTCGGCCACGATGGGAAGGGACACCCCCTCCACAAGAGAGAAAAGCGCCAAGCGAAGCACAAACAGCGGAAACGCCTTAAGTCCAGCTGTAAGAGACATCCTTTGTACGTGGACTTCAGTGACGTGGGCTGGAATGACTGGATCGTGGCTCCCCCGGGGTATCATGCCTTTTACTGCCACGGGGAGTGTCCCTTTCCCCTGGCCGATCACCTGAACTCCACTAACCACGCCATCGTCCAGACGTTGGTCAACTCAGTGAACTCTAAGATTCCCAAGGCATGCTGTGTCCCCACGGAGCTCAGCGCCATCTCCATGCTGTACCTTGACGAAAATGAAAAGGTGGTATTAAAGAACTATCAGGACATGGTTGTGGAGGGTTGTGGGTGTCGTTAGCGCAGCAAAAGAAAATATATATATATATATATATATGTATATGTATATATACATATATATATATATTTTAGAAAAAAGTAAAAAAAAAAGAAACAAAAAAACAAAAAAAAAACAAAACCAAGTTGACACTTTAATATTTCCCAATGAAGACTTTATTTATGGAATGGAATGGAGAAAAAAAAAACACAGCTATTTTGAAAATATATTTATATCTACAAAAAGAAGTTGGGAAAACAAATATTTTAATCAGAGAATTATTCCTTAAAGATTTTTAAAATGTATTTAGTTGTACATTTTATATGGGTTCAACCCCAGCACATGAAGTATAATGGTCAGATTTATTTTGTATTTATTTACTATTATAACCACTTTTTAGGAAAAATAGCTAATTTGTATTTATATGTAATCAAAAGAAGTATTGGGTTTGTACATAATTTTCCAAAAAAATTGTAGTTGTTTTCAGTTGTGTGTATTTAAGATGAAAAGTCTACATGGAAGGTTACTCTGGCAAAGTGCTTAGCACATTTGCTTTTTTTTTTTTTTTTTTTTTTTTTTTGCAGTGCTACTGTTAAGGTCACAAGTTCAAGTCCAGAAAAAAACAAAAGTGGATAATCCACTCTGCTGACTTTCAAGATTATTATATTATTCAATTCTCAGGAATGTTGCAGAGTGATTGTCCAGTCCATGAGAACTTACGTCCTTATTAGGTGGAATATTTGGATAAGAACCAGACATTGCTGATCTGATCTAGAAACCCTTCCCCCACCCCTTAATTTGAAGAAAGAATAAAGCAGGACCGATAGAAATAATTAGGCAAACAATGAACCTGCAGGGAAGTGAATGATGGTTTGTTCTTCTTTCCTAAACTATAGTGACCCCTTCAAAGGGGCTGGTCTGGCCAAAGTATTAAATAAAACGTAAGATTTCATCATTAATGATATTGTGGTCATGTATATTTAAAATTGGTATCTAGTGGCCCTCATGAAGAATTTGAAATTAATTTCTAGTTACCTTTTGCCTCACTTGGGCGCCCTTTATGCTTAGAAAGACGGTTTTCTCACTTTGCCCAACACACAGGAAACCTGTGCCCATCAGTGTTTTCCTCCCACCCCTGTCCTCTGTTGGATCAGCTTGCTTTTCTTCCCAAGGTTGTGTGTTTGAACACATTTCTCCAAATGTTAAACCTATTTCAGATAATAAATATCAAAGCTCTGGCATCTCATTCTATAAAGTCCAACCGTAAGAGAAAATGGTGCATTTGTACAGCGTTCACAAAGATTACCTTGTGTTTGTGTGTTTTGCTTCTGAGGTTACTCGTTCATGGAGAAAAGTAGGGACGAGCGAGGAATGGTTGGAAATTTGCAGGCAAGTCCTTGGATCATTCCTGGGAATATCAGTGGTTTAGCGTTTCACACGAACCTCTTCAGGGCAGAAAGATTTAAGAGAAAAACTGAAGCTCCAAAACAAGCAGAACCTGGGGAAGCCAAGATAAAGTTTCAGAGATGATATGCCATGTAACAGGGGCGACCGTGCCAAAAAATTAGAAAGGGAAAGTGTCTGAGATCAGCCTCTGCAAGGACATCTGCCAACTGGACGAAAGCCCAAACAGAATGAAGCCAAATTAGGCCGCTCAGAATGAGCACTTCGCGGTGGCAGGGCTTCTGTGCTCAGGTTGGAATCAGACCCAAGAAAGGGTTTGGTGGGTCTGTTTGCGTGGCCAGGGAACCCAGAACGCCCCCCGCTATTTTAGTGGAAGTGTCTTAAGGTCAATTCCTGGGACGTTGTGTCACCTCTGATCCTTCTGTGATTGGTGAGGCCTCGTTCTAACTTCCTTTCCTAGCACTGCCTTAGAATTACCCTCCGCCCCAAAAAAGTGTTTGGTAAAGGACCAGACTGTTATCATCAGTTCTTCCCAGGAATTAACTTGTGACGACCATGTTACATTTTGGGTTACATTTTGGGTGTGATAGGGTTAGCGTTTATTTTGAGATGATGTAGATCACACTTTTAAATTCAGACCAGTTCTCTTTTACACCTTCCACTTTTAAAGTCTTTTTGTTTCTTTTTATCCCTGTCCTGTTGTTCTTGTGTATCATTGGTACCACACCCATGTGTGGAGGGTGAGATCGCCTCTGTCCCCCACACAGTCTTCGCATCTTAAAAAATTATGTTTTCTCACCTCCAAAGCCTGTAGATGAGAATGTGAAAGAACAGCACAAGAATTTCCCTACAATGGCAGTTTCATCCCTTCTACATCTCTGCTTCATTGGTTCTGATTGTCTTGGTTAAAATGGTTCTCAAATGGGTTCTCTTGCATGATATATACACGTGTATAAATCTATATAGACATATATGTGTAATATATATAAATATATATACAAATATATGTGTAAATATATATACAAATGTGTAAATACAGAAATATATACACAAATATATCTGTAAATATAGAGACATGTAATATATATAAATATACATATGAAGCATATGAAGATACACATATATGTATTACATATATAGATGATGGCATTTTCCGTTTGGTTTCAGAAATTTGCAAGAGTTGAGGACTCTGAGCTCTTGGCAGCTCATTTGAGAAACAGAATATCTGACATATATTCTCCATTTCTTGCATTTTTGCTCACGTCCTTCATTCTGCAGAAGAAAGTGTCTTAACTAACCCCATGACACTGACTGACTATCTTCTTGAATCTTCAGTCACTATTCTGTAGGAACCTTTGGATCCTTTTAGAGTTGGTTTTTTAAAAACAAAATGTAGAAAGTTTCTGAATTTGGGGACATCACCTTTCGTTGATTTGAATTGTGTCATCTGGTTTGGTGCCTGTCTGGGCTGCGTGTGCCTCCCTGTCATGGATTTACCCTGTATCGCGGGCCCAGGTTGCTCTGTTCACTTTTTTTTTTTTTTTTGTCTTCAAAACTGGGGAGGAGGAAGATGAGTGGTTTACAAATTTGTCTGTTTCCAGTTTTTCATAATTTCTACTCCAATTGCTGCTTTATTTTTAAAATATATATATATATAGTATATATAATATATATTATAGTATTATATATATTTTATTTATATGTATATATATAGTGGCTAACTTTTGTTAATCTCAGACTCCCGAATTGCTGCTTTAAATTGTACCTTAAGAGGCCAAGAGTGGAGAGGTGATCTCTCAAGCTGGTCTGTGGAGCAAGGGACGTAATACTAGCTAATCGGAAGTGTCCCATATTGTTTTCCTCAATTTTTCACTGGAGGTAGAAAAATCGTTTGTGCAATTCAAAGCGCTTTTAAAAATAGTATATTTCTATTTAGAGTCATATTAGTGTTAAGATATCAGGTCACTGAATGTTAGATGCCACTAACCACCCCCACCCCCACCACCAATCTATTATAAAGCAAAAAAAACATAGCCTTGCAGTAAAGAGCAATTTAAATGTAGAATAAGTGTGACATGGATGGGCAGTCACAAAGAAGCAAGAATGCCCCGGCGCTATTCTGTTCCTTTTCTGTTTTATTTTTTGCAGGGGGCGGGTAGAGTAAAATGGGAGATAAATGTAGGTCTGTTTCACTCAGGTAAATTGCTTTTCCTCTTTCCTCCACCCCACTGACATAAATTACAGCCTTATGGTATTCTCTGGGGCAGAGTTTTCTGACCATCTCCCTGCCCTGCAAACTTCAAAGTGAACTGCTACCTCACTAGGGAACCGATGCTCTAAATAAAACTTCCTAGATTTTGACGTGCGTCCGAAATCACCAGGACTGCCTGCGGGAGGATGCGACGTTAACGTGCACACAGAGCCCCGGGGATCATGTTATGACATGGGTTCTGTTCGAGGAGTCCAGAGCCGGGGCCTGGGATTCTGCATTTCTGACACGCTACCAGGTGAAGCTGTCCTTAAACCACCAGCCCAAGGTCTTACATGTTGAGAGAAAGGCTCTAAGAACTCTTCCCAATCACAGCAGGAGAAAGTTGGACAGAGTTTAGGTCCCTCTCTAAGGAGGAGCACGGAAAAGAAAAACAAATCCTGTGCATGGGGTGACATTTTGGACACATTTTCTCTGAAACGATGTCCTCAATACTTTTTTCAAAGGCATTCTTTTCCCCCCACAAGATGACTGGCAATTTTGTGTTCGAGCCACCCTCAGACATGAAAACACTTGGTTGCCTATCTTGTAAAATCTGCTCGGCTGGCTTGCTTGGGCACGTACGCAGTCAGTTCAGTCAAATGCGTGTCAGTACATCTGTGTGGATGGGGGAGCAGGTGCAAGCCCTTAACGTACTTTTAAAAAGTTTAACGCTTAAGTCAGTCCACTGAGTTGATCCGTGTGATCTGAGTGCCAAGCGTCTGAGTTAAAAATTTTCCCTTTGAAGGCAGCAAAAAGATGTCATACATTTGAAGCATTTGTTTATGCTAAAAATGATGCTTGATTTTTTCCCCCCAAGTTCTAAGACAGTTCACTGCACAGCACCATTGAGCCTAGAGGGTAATATATAGCTTCCCCAGCTGGTATTTGAGGTTGGATTTAGTGGATATTGGAATTCGTGATGCCAAGGATGGCTTCGAATAAGGTGCTGAAATGAATGGGCTCAGGCTAGGAAAAGCAAAAAGACCTGATTTCCCTCAAAGGGGCTCAGCAAAGAAATCACTTTGTCTTGGTCTCTCCTTTTTAGCAAAATGTCCTAGACAAGGTCATCTGTTTAATAGCCTCATTTTCCTGTTTCAGGGAAGCACTTTGAAGGTTTCTTACAAGCAACTCAGATTTGAGTATTTGTTGAAGAAATGCTGGAATGAATGAATCTCTAATTTCAAATACACACTTTATAAATATAGACATACACACACACATATATATTCTTTTTCTCTTTTTTCTCTATAATATATACACACACACACATATATTTATATATATGTATGTATATCTCCATCCCAGGGACATAATTTTTTGATTTATTCCTGTCTGGGGTCCAAATGCTGTGTGTAAATCACTAATTTTTATCCGTTGGGTTTATCATCTGGTTTCAGCCTCCACATTTTGGGCTGGGTCCCTCCGAGGTGCCCCAGGCACTGACCTGACGGCCACTTGGAGCCCGCGTTTGCCCCGCGCTCCCGGGCCCCACTCCCAGCAGCGCCAGGGCTGCATTCCCGCCGCGGTGCGTCCTGTGAGGGGACCTCTCTGCAAACCTCCGATTGCTTAAAGCTTCTCGTCTGGACTGCATTTACCCTGGAACCGCTTGGCCACAACACTATGAGAGAATAATTATTGAACTATCTTACTGTACAACTATTTCCAAATTGTTGACTTTTTATTGATTTCAGGAGGCAAGCTAATTGCCCCATGGCAACTCGATGTGAGCGTTTAATGAAGATCAGGAAACAGAGTTTATGAAAAGCTTTTGTATAGTAACTGCAAAGTTTCAAGAACTGTTTTATACTTCCTGACAGCGCTGGGCCGAGCTTAATGGTTTGTTTTTATTACTTAAGAGTGTAAACCTTGCTCTCGCCCCGGTGTGTGGAAACTATACCCTCATTCCACATTACGCATTTTCAAGTTGCTTTTTACTCACTGCCAGCTTCCCTTCCTGCCATCTACAATCAGGACCTTTTCGGTTTAATTGTCTGAAAGCAAGTTTCTGTCTTTGCACGCTGTGAATCTTCACACACACACACACACACACACACTCATGAAGTTAAGTGTCTGCATTGTTTCGCTTTGTTTTGGGTGGAGTTTCTTTGGTCGCTTGGTTGCTAGACAACCGAGCAGACAAAAGTTAAAGATTTGAAAAGGCATTTTTAAAGATGTCGAAGCTTGGCTGCAGGACTATTTTATCTTCGTCTTTATATGGAAGGCTTAGCTCTTTTACCAGGAGACCCTGGTCTTTTGTTGCAGAGGTGGCTGGGGAAAGGTTTGCTGAAGTCGAGCTCTTTAAAGCATTATCTGTTTGAGAATTTTCTTAAGTGTTGTTCCCATTTGCTGGAACATACTTCCCACCTGGATGGACAAAAAAAGCCAGCTTCGTTTCCAAGGGTGTGTTTTAAATCACTAATAAAGTCAGCTCCAGCTCCCAGCTGCTTCGTTTGTTGCAAGGCAAAGAGGTAGAGAAAAGATCGCTGTTCAAGGCAACGTTCAGAAACACAAGATTTCAGTTTATGGAGAATGCTGTCTCCAGGAAGCCGCATTGGTGTTTTGGTAGATAGTACTGGAAATGTTTAAAAAAC